TGGGGCCGGGGCAAGGGGAGGTGTGCTTCAGGCTGGAAGGCAGGCAAAGGTGGAACTGCAGCAAGCAGCCTGGCAGGACACAGCCGATGCCTGCCTTCTTTCTCACCTGAGGACCGTCTGCCTCCCCCGCATTCTGCTCCACCACTTAGCATCCTTGACATCCCTTCCACGTGGGGACACGTTACATAAGACATATACCTCCCTCTTGGTTGTCCTACCTATATGCTACTCCACACATCTCAACTGGACAAAGTCAGAGGTTTGGGGTCATAACTGACCCTGGGAGTACAGATTTTCATCTCTGACTCCCCCTCCCTACCCCGGTCATTAGTGCAGAGAGAGCAAGGACTGAAACCTAGTTGGACGACCTCCCAGACTGAATATGACAGGAAGCACCCTTTCCACTCATGGAGAAGATTATGGGACAAAGGCGGGCGGCAGACAAGGAAAAACTGTAAGCACCTGTGACCTCATGTGTTTGGGTTTCTGCCGGACACAGAGAGGCTGTGGTGACAGCAGGGGTGGGAGGTTGGACGGGGGCAAGGCTGCCTCGCTACCCCAGAGAAAGCAGTATCCTCCTCTCCGGACCCCGGACATTGGCAGGGTGACCTCAGAGGAGCAGGGCTCGCCAGAGATGGGAACTGGAATTTGTCAGGAAAGAGAGAAGCTGGTGCTGCAGCACAGCACACTTGGAAGCTAGCTGGCTGCCCTTCAGCCACCTTGCAGCTTGTTTTCTCCTGTCTTCCAGCCACAGGCCATTGTCTCTCCATCCAGACTCATTTACTGACTGCCCAGGAGTAAGAGTCTGCCTTCTCCCAATTTTACAGACCCACAGTCTGGGCTGGGGGAGGCGCACAGTCTGGCAAGGCACAAGGACAAGGCAGGCGTTCAGCCGACCCTGCGAGGAGTCCCCTGGGCAGCCCCTCCTGCCCTGTCCCTCTCCCAGGCTGTAGGTCCTGCAGCTGATCCCTCTCAGGTTCACTGAATTCCAGGAGTGTTTGTAAACACCTCCCACTACCAGGGTGTGGTGAGATGACTGCTCTTTCCTCTTAGTCTGCCCCACCTCTAGCTCTGACTGCAAGAGGAAGAGAGTTTCTGTTGGCCTGAGCCTGTGGACAGGGCGCCTGGCAGGTTGGACTGGACAGGGTACCCACTTGTCCCCGGCCCAGAGCTGCAGAGCACAGGGCGCCCGGACTCCCCGCAGACCCTGCCGAGATGTGCACTTAGATCACCAGCACAGATTTGCTTTTGGGGGCTGCTGGGAAGGCACCCGCTGGATAAGTCCCTGGGTAGAGCAGTGCTGGGGCAGGGACGACGGGCACGCAGAGGGAGAGACTTGCATGCTCTGCCAACTACCAGCCACTCCTTCCCCCAGCTCCTCAGTTTCCCCCAACTGTAGAAACACTACCTCAAAAACCACCTCTGGAGGCTCTGGAGGGGCTGACGTGCTATCCCAAAGGAGGAACAGGAAGGGGCTGGTAATGGCAGCTTGTCCTTCTCCTTTGCCTTAGTCTCTGGGGTGTGGTGCCAAAGGGCCAGACACATGACTCATTCAGTGGGGCACTGGCTAAACAGCCCTCTGGCTTCTCCCGGTCCAGCTGCCTTGGCTTCCTGCCCACCCTGCTGACCAAGGAACTACCTTCCAGGTGTAGGCGCTAGCAGCAAGCGTCTTCCATCTTGTGGGGTCAGGGAGTCTGGGAAGCAAGTCCCTGTCATTGTCCCAGTAGCCGTGACAATGTGGAGGATAAACTCTGGCCACACTGAAGGAGGATGGTCTCTACAGGCAAATGGCTAATCATTTCCCCTACAATCCTGTTGACAATATTTGTTTAAGAAAGCTTGCATCATAGAAACACAAAGGTATTATCTTGCCAATGTGTGAAGTCAGTTCAGAGAAAGTCCTTGAGTCCTGCAAGTCAAAGTCTGTAGAGAATGTGTGCCCCTCACCTTCCCACTCGGTGCCCAAAGCCTTCGTGCCTCTCCTATTCAGAACCGCTCCTTGCTTCCTGGATTCTTCCTTGTACTCTGATTCAGCACTTGTTTTATTCACTTCTAAGCAGCTCAAGGGCAGGAAATGGGGGCCTCACCATTTCTAGCACCCCAAGTCCTTGCAAATAGAAGGCACTTCAAGTAGAAGAGACGTAATTGACTTTTGGTCTTCAGCTTTAGTCCATTCAGTCCCAGCTACCACTGCCTTTAGCATCACCATGTATAGCCATCTTTTTAAAATATAAGGTTTACTTCTTGTTATTATTAAAGAAATATGTGTTCATTGTAGATGCAAGTCATACTCCACCTTTCCAGAGACAGTTTCATGGCACATGGAGGAACGCAGGAGTTTGGAGTGTTTCTTCCTCCTGGAATTAGCTCACCTTTCTCTCCCTGGCCTCTCCCATATTAGCTGTGAGCCTCCACTTCCTCAGCTGCTGGGTCCCTGGACACAGACCCACCACAGCAGAGCTGGGAGGGGTGGGCGAGAGCGGCCCATAGGGCATCCATGCCTCTTCCCTTCTGATCACAGCTCATGGCACACAGCGAAGGAGTGCGTAGACTTTATCTTCCCCTTCACCTATTTCATCCCTACCTCCACCTCCCTCCCCTCTGGCAACCACCTGTCAGTATCTGAGTTCGTTTCTGTTTTGTTTGTTTGTTTTGCTTTTTTAGATTCCACACAAAAGTGAGATAACATGGTACTTATCATTCTCTGTCTGACCTGTTTCACTTAGCATAACACCCCCTAGGTTATCCATGTTGCCACAAATGGCAAGAGTCCATTCTTTTTTTGGCCCAGTAATATTCCATTGTATACATATGTACCACATTTTCTTTATCATTCATCTATCAGGGAACATTTAGGTTGCTTCCATATCTTAGCTGTTATAAATAATACTGTTTGCTATTATAAATCATATTGTTATTATAAATAATGCTGTGATAAACATAGGGTGCATATATATTTTCAGATTAGTGATTTTGTTTTCTTTGGGGAAATTCTAAGAAGTAGACTTGCTGGGTCACATTTTTAGTTTTTTGAGAAACCGCCATGCTGCTTTCCATAGTGGCTGGGTATGCTGACTTTTGACCCTAAGGAATCATAATGTAGGCCTGGAAGCTTAAAGCCCTACCCAGCACTTGACAGTTTACAAAGTTTAAGGAGGAGCACAGAATAAAGCTCCTTGCCTAGGGGTCCCCTTTAGGAAGAAAACACCAGATTCTCACCAGGGTCCTTCTTAAGGGCCCTCTTCTCCCCTGTCCCTATAGTCCCTCTTGTGAATCTCCATCCATCTTCAGGAAATCCTATCCCTTACCCTCCCTAGGATGCACAGCACCTTTCGTAAGTGTGCGTCAGTATCCTGGGGTAACATTTCCTATCACCGCCCCAACCCCCAACACCCCAGGTTTGGGGGACACCTTTAGCAGAGAAGGCCGGTGGCACTAAATTCTTATAGAAAGAGTTCGGGGACCAATTCCACAATAGCCCATTCTGTGGCATGATTGGGTCCTCCAATTCAAGTTTTTTTCAAAGCCCATTCAACTAAAATATATATATATATCCCCAAAAGAAACATTCCTGAGAAATGATACCACATAAACCCCTAACGATAAAGAAAATACTGTCATATTCATAATTTGTAATAAATGTGTATTGAAACCTAGTATATACAGAAAATAGAAGAAAAACGTGTAACATTTTTTAAAAACAAACTTTATTATAGCATTGTAGCATAGCTATAATAAAAAAGGGTGTAAAGGAAAATATACTATAAACATTATATGCAGAAAAGTATATAGAAGAGCCAGCTTGGTGAATTTTCACCACCCAGATCTAGAAACAGAACGGTGTCTGCACCTGTAGAAATAGCCCTTGAGTTTCATCTCAGTCACTAGGCTCCCTGTCTTTTTTGAACCTTATATAAATGAATCACACATTGGGTATTTATTTTAGACCTGGTTCCTTTCACTCAGGATTGTGTGCATGAGAGTCACCAGTGGTGTTTGTACAGCAGTGATTGATCGTCCATCTTCACTGTTTCACAATATTCCATGGTATGAATACATCACAGTTTATTTTTCATTCTACAGTTGATGGACATTTAGGTTGCTTATAGTTTGCAGCTTGTACTGGGCTGAATGATGCCACCCCCCCCCCCCCACAAAAAGATATGTGCACGTCCTACTCCCTGGAGCCTGTAAATGTGACTTTGTTTAGATGAAAGGAGTCTCTGTAGGTATAGTTCAGTTATGGGTTATTAAAAGGAAAGCCACAGGCCCAAGAGCGGTGCTGGGCCAGGTCACCAAATCAAGGCTTAATGTCAAGCCTAACTGCAGTTTCAACTCCTCCAGAAAGGTAGTCTTCAGTCAAGAATTTTCCAACCAGCACCAGTGAGGTCATGTGTCACATGGCCCTCCATCCCCCCCAAAAATGATGAGGTCATCTACGTGACAAGACCCCCTGCTCTTCCCCCTGAGGGAGGGTGACCTGGCCTGAAACAGTGCTTTCCTGTCTTTTGCTAATAACTTTCTGAGCCCCCTCCTTTCTATAAAAACCTTTCATTCTGTACAACTCCTCAGAGCATCTCTCTACTTGTGAGCTGGGAAGTTGCCCAATTCATGACTCGATTAATGAAGCCAATAAAATCTTCAAATTTACTTGGTTGAATTTTGTTTTTTAATAGGATATTGAGAGAAGAAGATCTTCTTGGATTATCCAAGTAGCCCTTAGATCCAGTGACAAGTGTCCTTAAAAGAAGGAAGCAAAGGGAGATCACACAGAAGGGGACGAGGCCATGAGAAGAGGAAGCCAGCTGGAGCGATGCATCCACAAGCCAAGGAATGCTCCCAGCCATCAGCAGCTGGAAGAGACAAGGCATCTCCCCAGAGCCGCTGGAAGGAGTGCAGCCCTGATGACTCCTTGATTTCAGACCTGTCGTTTTAAGCTGCCAAGTTTCTGGTAACTTGTCAGGCAGCTACAGGAAACTAACACAGAGCTATTAGGCACACATTAGCTATACATATGTTACAGGTACACATACATATAAACATACACACACACCTAAGTGTGGAATTGCTGGGTCATTGGGCAGGTATTTGTTTAGCACAAAGAGATCTTGCCAAACAGTTTTCCAAAGCACTTATACCAATTTATACTCCTACCAGTAATGTTTGGGAGATCCGGTTTCTCCACATCGTATCGACCTTGGTATCATCAATCTTTTGTATTTTGCCCTTCTGGTGGATGTTCAGTGGTTTAAGTTTGAATTTCCCTGATGAGGAATGAGGTTGGGTGGGCTTTGTGTCCCTGTTTTATTGGCTGTTTGGATATGGTCTTTTGTGATACAGCTGTTCATGTCTTTTGCCAATTTTTTTTTTCAGTTGTCTGCCTATTGTTTGTAGGAAATATATATATATTCACACACACATATATATATACAGTATCTATATATATACAACAGTCCCCTCTTATCCATTGCTTTGTTTTCCATGGTTTCAGTTATCCTCAGTAAACTGGTCTGGAATCATCAGAAGGTCAGCAGTAGCCTAACGCTCCGTCACAATGTCTAGGTCGCTCACCTCACTTCATCTCATCATGGAGGCGTTTCATCATCTCACGTCATCACAAGAAGCAGGGTGAGTCCAGCACTATAAAATATCTTTAGAGAGACACCATTCACATAATTTTTACTACAGTATTGTTATAATTGTTTTACTTTATTATTAGTTATTGTTGTTAATCACTCACTGTGCCTGATGTTTAAATTAGGCTTTACCATAGGTTTGTATGCTTAGGAAAAACAGTGCGTAGAGGGTTTGGTACTATCCAGTTTGAGTAATCCACTGGGGATCTTGGAACATATCCCCCATAGAGAGGGAGGATGACTGTGTATAATATCTTTGTCAAAAACGTAATGCAAACATCTTCTACTCTGTGACTTGCCTTTTCACTCTTGGTGGTGTTTAGGGGTGAAGAGTTTTCATTTTAATGAAATCTGAGTTATCAATCTTTTCTTTTATGGTTGGTGATTTTGGGTCCTTATTAAGAAATCTGTGCTGCCCCCAGGTCATGAATATAGCCTCCTTTAGAATCTTCTAGAAGGCTTATTGCCTTACCTTTCGCATTTAGGTTAGGAATGCATCTGGAATTTGTATTTATTGTTAAATGATAAGTTTTTAAAAATATAAAATCATGTCTTTCATACAGATATAAAAATGAACACATTAACATTAGAATCTTGTTAAACTTATTAAGAACTAAGACTGACAGGCTGTTTCAACCTGTTCAAAGGTGAATCCAAAGGAGAGACACATTTATCAATCAGGAATATTGAAATGAATATGCAAAACTGTTTTTTCCACAGTGGCAGGGAAGGTGTCCCTCCACCAGACAGAATTTATTTTCATGAATTTTGCTTTACAGTTGTAGGAGTGGAAACGTTTTTCCTTCTAGCCTTCTAGGTTCTTTGGCTGGTCTAGTAATCCAGTTAACAGAAGACATTAACAGGAGAAAAACAAACGGAATTTTAATACTATGTGTACCTCCTGTATCCATGGGAGAGACCCAGGAAGACTGCATAACTCTCGGAAATGGCCCAAGTCACCAACTGAAATACCATCTCCAATAAAAAGACAAAGGAAGACACTGGAGGTGGGGAGTCAGTTATGAAAAGTAACCAGAAAAGGCAGGGTAAACAAGGGTATAGTTATTATGCAGATTTAAGTCCTTTCCTCCATTGGTAACAGAGTCCTAATCTCCATTCCTAGAGATTTACCAATTCTCCTCTTCCTGGTACATTCTTATAAATGGAGATTGCCCTTGTAAATGTAAAATGTCTTTTACAAAAAGGTAACTTCTACTCAAGTTTTTGGAGCTTTGTCCATGTCTGCTGTTCCTTAAAAATAGCCAGTTTAAAATAATCAATAGGCCAAAGAAGAATAGTTTGGGGTGGCATTTTTTGCTTCCCTTCACTATCAGTTATCTACAAATTAACAGAGTTATAAAATAGTTGCCATAAAATCAAAATCACATAATCCAGAGGGTGTGCTACAGAAAATCCTGTTTTGCATGGAAGCACAGAATTTTCCCTACCATATAGTACCAGATAGGGCTCAAGATTCTTGTTTTTTCCTTCCATATGTATATCCCATAGAGCCAGTGCCATTCATTGGAAAACCCAGCTTTCCTCTTCCGTGTTTCTATTATGTGTGGATTTGTTTCTGAACTCTGGTCTGTTGGTCTGTCAGTCTATTCTTCAACCAATGCTATGCTGTCTTAATTATCATAGCTTTATACTGTATCTTGATATACAGGAGTGTAAAGCCTTCAGCTTTGTCTTTCCTCTGGCAAGATTTCTGGGCTATTTTTGGCCCCTAGCATTTTCATATATATTTTAGAATCAATCAGTCAATTTCTAAAAAAAAAAAAAAAAGACCCTCAAATTTTGAGATTTCATTGAATTTATAGATCAGTTTGGGCAAAACTGACATTTACAATCTTGGGTCTTCCAAACAAGAATGAAGTATATCCTTTTGTTTATTTAATTTCTCTCAGTGTTTGAGTTTTCTATGTATATGTCTTGTACATCTTTTGCTAGATTTATTCTGAGGCCTTTGATGGGTTTAGATGCTCTTGCAGATAATATTTTACATTTTCATTTTTCAAGAGCATTCATGATTTATAAAATGTCTCTGATTCTTAAGGAGAAGCCAGTTAAGTCACAAAACACAGTGTTTGGCCTTCTCCTTCACTCTCTCTCATTCTCCTTTGCTCTCTGACTTACACACCAGAGGTCCTTCGGGCTGCCAGGGGAAGGAACAGGGCTCCCTTGAGAACACTGAGGGGAGGCAAAATATGTGACCCCAAAATGTGCCACTTTGGAATGTGGATTATTTTGAGCTGAAAGCAAAGAAGACATAGCAAACTCAAGAAAGAGTTTTTACCACTCCCTTAACTACCTAAAATAATTGAATAGGAGGCCTAGCCCAGAAACACAGCATTACCATATATAACATTTCCTCTGAAAGATTACCTGTGTGGCAGGGCAAACATCTGATTACCAAACATGTCTTCCTATTGTCCTGTGAATTAGCTCCCCCCTTTGAAGCCCCAGGCCTCAATCCCCTTCCTCAGCTCAGGATGGCATGCAAGCAAGCCTCAAGGGACTGACTAATTCTTACTCATAATCTTAGGAGGCCCCTGTATGTACATAATTAAATCTGTTTTTCTCCTGTTCATCTGTCTCATGTTAATTTCATATTAGATCAGCCGTAGTAGCTGGCCAGAGGAAATCGCTTTCCTCCCCAGCAACACAAGATTACCGTTTGAAAATGGGCTCTATTAAATCCTGAACCCAAAGCCCTCACTCTCCTAGTTTCTTTTTTATTTTTAATCTGAAACCTCTTTATTTTATTGAGCTTTAATTCATATAACATGCACTGTTTTAAAGTGTGCAATGCTGTGGTTTTTAGTATCTTCACTGTGTTGTGCAATCACCACCACTACTTCATTCTAGAACATTTTCATTGCCTAAAACAGAAACCATACCTATGAGCCACTAATCCCAATTCCTTCTCCCCAGCCCCTGGCAACCATTAATCTGCTTTCCGTTTCTATGGATTTGCCTTCTCTGGATGGTTCATATACCTGGAATTATACGTCACGTGGCCTTTTGCATCTGGCTTCTCTTACTTAGCCTAATGTTTTCAGGGTTCATCCAGATGTAGCATGTATCAGTCCTTCCCTTGTTTTTATACCACCACCTCATCCAGGAAAGCAATGAGGGTTGCTTCATAGGAAATCTGGAATACAAAGAAAAATAGGAAACAGTAAAAATAAAAAAATCTCTTATATTCCAATTCAAAAAATAATAAATGTTACTATTTCAGCATATTTTTTCCCAGTGTGTTTTCTATGCATACTTTTAAAAAAATGCATTTGAGATTATACTATATACACAATTTTGTATCCCATTCTCCCCAGATAGTCTCATTTTATTGGAAAATTTCATATGCTTTATTTCCAATGGTTGCCTAATTTCATTCTGCAAATGTACACTAGTTTTTTGAACTATAGCCCTATCATTGAACATAATTCTAAATAACACTTCCATGAAGATCTCTGTGCATAAAAAACACTGTCCACATTTAGATTTATTTCCTTAACACATTTCCTTAGGATATCATATGGGAAGTAGGTCAATGTGAACACTAATTTTTTTAATTTTACTCTTTATTCATTATATATAATGACAGATACCACTCCCCCTGCCCCAGTAATGTATTGGAAAAACTATTTCATCCAACTTTAATCAATACAGAGTACTTACATTTTTAAATGTTAATGGTTAAAATGGTAATTTTTGCATTTATGCAGTTACCAAACTAATTTGCATTGCTTTGATTTGTCATAAGGTTGAATATTTTTTATTAGTGTCAGTCAATTCTTTTATTTTACACATTAACTGTTTCTTGCCCAGTTTGAGGACTTAGTACTTTTCCTGATTTATAAATATTATTTTGTAATATAGATACCCTTTGTCTAGTTTCTGATCTTCTATTTTTTCCTCCATTTTTTATTGTTGTTTATCTTTTAATTTGGTCCCTAATTTTATATATTGAAAAATATCCTTCTTGAGGGGAGGGGAAAAGGTAATGTTTACCATTATTTTTAAGTTTAGGTCTCCCTCCCTTGGGTATCAGATAAATATGCACTTATGTTTTCATATAGCCTTTTTGGGCTTGAATTTCTACTATTTTACATGTTAATCTTTATGGAATTTATATTAGTACATGATGTAAAGATAAATTATATTTTTTCCCACAAAATGCTAATTAAATACTAAAACATAATTTACTGGATAACCTGTCTTTTCCCTATTGGATTTGTGATCCTTTGTTGTCATATAATAAATTCTTATATCCACAGTGACTATTTTAAACATCTAGGCTACCTGAATGATTCTAATCATCTTATTATGCAAGTTTCAGTCAATTTACCCATTTTCTATACCTCTCTAGAAAAGAGAAGACATATGTGGCAGAAGATAACCTGGAAAGGCCTCTTTTGCTCGGTTTTACTGAATCCTGGTATCACAGGGTAAGAAAAGACTTGCAAAAGTCCATACCCCATTTCCAGAATGAACTACCCTAAAACCATCCCATAAGGCATTTATAAACCATGGAGGACCTCATATTCTATCATCATGGGATTTTATTAAACATTCATATTGTACTGAGGAAGGATCTTTATAATTGAATCCAAAGACAGAGTAGGATCTATCTTCTGAGGATTTATCTCCAATAGAAAACAAAAAAGAATACAGATAAATACATCTGGTGATCCTTTCCAAAAATACATGAAGAAAGAGAAAAATGGTGACTTATGTTGTAATTGTTCTTGACTAGATCCTTGACCGCATACAGGAAGACAAAAATTTGCTTACAAGTTGTACAAAGTTTTATGCAGAAAATAATTATATGAACAGATGTGAAAAATGAAACCATGAGAGGTGCTACAGAGATTATCTCTTGTCATCATTTTTCAAGTTGTTTTGACTACGACTTCTTCAAATACATTTAACATCACAACCTACAGGCCTAATGCTCTAAGCTTCTTTGAGAGTGACATCTGGAGGATGGGTAAAACTTAAGTGGATGAAGAGAATAGTTCAAGCAGAGAAAACAATTTGTGCAAAGGCCCTTAGGCAGGAGAAAGCCAGTGATGGGCGGCATTGTAAAAAAAGACTAACTTGGCCAGATCTAAAGAGCAAGGGTGATCATGGTAGATGATACTGGAAGAGGGTAGGATACACATCATGCAAGACCTCAGAGGCCATGGCAAGAACACATGTCTCCTAGAATCAGATCTATGTTTTGAAAAGATCAATGGCTAGAGTGAAAGACAGAGGGACATAGGGCTAAACATGTAAAGGGATGCTAGTTAGGAGGCTACTGTTGTTGTACCAATGAGAGGGCATGGCACTGGGTCGGCACAGTAATGGAAGAGAAGGAGGGAAATGAATGCAATCTAGAGATTACAAGAAGTAATTCCACAGGGCTGATTAAACACCTACTCTGTGCCATGCACTGTTCTCGGTTTTAAAGATAGAGCAGAAAACAAGACAGGCCAGGTCCCTGCCCTTAGGAAGATTATGTTTTGGTCCAGGTTTCTGGCTTGCATAACTGTGTGGACGAGGCCCTTACTGTGACAGAGAATGCTGGAAGAAGGACCAGGCTCTGTTTTGAACATGCTGAACTTCGGGTACCTTTGAGACACCTGAGAGGATGGTAAACAAACTGTTTGATATGTGGGTCTGGGAGTGGTCTGGACTGGAAATATGAGTATATTTATTTCATTAGACCTAGAACCAAACCAAGAGATAAGAGACATACCATTAAGTACCTTTATGTTCATAAAGGTGAGCTGAAAACTGTGCAAGAATTCAGCCCAGATAGCACTATCCTTGTTTACTGGATATTTATAATACAATGAAAAAAATAACATGTATGCCAATGGGCAACCGCTACATACCTATAACATGTAATTTGCACTTACTAATAAATTTCCTTATGTTATTTTTTTCACATGTAGTGATCCTGAACTCTTTATTAAACTATCACTGTATTGATGAAAGTCTGCTTTGTATCAGAATTATTTAAGCATATGTCTACTCTTCATGAACTTCTAAAGGGTAGGACCATGTCTAAAACTCATTGTTTTCCCTAGAGCTCTGTGTTCAATGGATGCAATTAAATTTTCTTCTCCCTCAGACTCATTCATTCATTCCACCTGTTAGGACTCTGGATTTGCTTCTCGCAAACAGCTAAACTTGTATACATAATACAAATAATCATTCCTCTATTACTTTAATTTCTAATTCTGTTCTCTTGCATGTGTATATAGGAATGTCTGTGTTTGTATCTATATAGATCATCTATTCTGCAAAGAAAGTTCCAGTCATGACTACACTCCTGCTTAGATGTGCAAGAGGCCAATATGCGTAGGGCAGTGAGAAAAGAAGTGGTCTGGGAATCAACAGGCATAAATCTTAGTTTAGACTCTATAGCTCTGGGACCTGCAGCAAATCATTTAATCACTTCCAGCTTCAGGGTTGCAAGAAAGGCATTAATTGGTCTCCATGGCCCCTTACATTTCTAAAATCGCTGAAAGTCCAATTTGATAGTAAAAATTACTTTTCAACACTTAGATGCCTCTGACCACAGGCCTTTTGTTGAAACCCCTCAGAGAAGACGAGGAAATACTTATAAGTCACTGGTACAGCTGTGTACCAGTAGTTGTTGGGGAGGGGGGGGATGTGGCTTAAAACTGAAAGCTAGGTTATTGCTGAAAGTTACAAAACATCATCTGGTTTGAAAGTGGCCCTAGGAAGGAGTGCTGGCAGGACCTCCCTGCTGAGGAAGGGGAACGTGGGGTCCTGCAGTTTGAGAGCTGCTCAAGTTTGTAGCTAGTGTAAGGAAATGACTACTGTCCTGATCAGCTTTTGGAATAAAGTTGAGATCGCCGTGTGGTACCTAATTCTGACTGGAGTTCATTCCAAGTGTCAGTCATCTGGGAAACATGCAGAGCCTCAGACAGAAGATAGAACCCTGGGAATGTTGGCAGACAAGGACTTTCCCTATGTCTGTCTGGACTTTGTTCTCTTAGTTCTAGACTGAGGAGAGGTGGTGTATGGTTGTCCCCTAGATGGGAGCACTATCTTGAGGCAGGCTTGAGACTAGAGAAGAGGGATTCCTAACAAAATGGAAAAGATAACAAAAATGGAAAGAAAAAAAATTTAAAGTAAACTATCACTTGAGTGACTTAGTTCATGTTATTTTCTGCTTACATTTTGCTTACTTTGGATAGTCTTCTTAGAAGTCATTGCAAATGTTCCAGCCTAATGAGTTGAGAGCTTTAGAAGCTCTGCAGGGAGTATTCAGGGAAAGATCATGAATCCACGGTGGCAGAATGGTTCCAGGAGCACAGCATCCCAGTCCCCAGGCTCTCCTAAAGCTTGCTGGCAACAGGGGCAACCTTAGAAAGATGCCGGGGGGGGGGGGGGGCATCAGGAATGTCAGTCTGTGGGGTTCCGTCTCCTTATTCCATGAGGATATTTGCTCTACTGTCAGTCTCGGAAGATTCTGGATGTGACGATCACTAAGAGATGAGGTCATTTTCTTAACATTAGCACAAAGTTCAGTCAATATCAAAACATCTGACCTTTTAAGAGTTACATTTTTCTATTTATTTGTACCCTGCTCTGTTTCAAAAAAGATTTAAGGCTGTTTACAAAACCACATAAATGAAGTTAAAATAGCATAGAACACCAGGAAAGGTGAGGCAGAGGGAAAGCAAGGGTAGGGACCAGCATGTGTGCTAAGAGCCCAGGGTGCCATGGAGTCCCAGAGGCACCCAACGCTCCGGCATGCTGGGCTTTTTAAAAACTTGCTGAAGCTGTCAAACCAGTGCTGTGTTTTCATTACCCAGAGCCCTATCATTGTTGGGGACAATGCCCAGTGCAACAATCAAACCCCGACTCACACGCTGGAAGGAGACCGCCTACTTAATCCTGTGTTCTCGCCCACGCGGAAAACGCACAGTTCGCCAGCTGGCCCACATTTGTGCTTTCTGGATCAAAAGCCCCCTGGGCGCTCTGGATAAAAGCCTGATGTTTACAAACACATTTAAGGAGATGTTCTCCAAATGTGGGAACAAAGCTTGCAGTCTTGACTGATGTGCTCCCAGACCGGGAAGCTGCTATCCTGGGAGGAAATGAGAACAGTAAATTTCTTGTAAATAA